CCGACGCAGAAGTATAAATCAGCCTTAAGCCTGCCCGCCTCTGCTCACTCAAGCCGGTCTCCGCATACTCTAGGCCGCCACTCACTCTAGGCCTCCGGCCTCCGCTCACTCAAGGCATGTGACGCCGTTTAGTTGTGAAAGCGAAAATACTTTGTTTGACCTTCCAAAAGAGGACACGACTAGAAATCAGTGGTTAAGTTGTATTTACAACACTGTTTCAGAACAGTTTAACCCAAATATTCAGATGTGTCCAGTGCATTTTATGGAGGACTGTTTCCTGATTCTGGTAGAGTAGACTACAATGCCGGCTGTTCAGACTCACAAATTGTAAGTACGTTTTTTATATTTAAAGAATTTGCCACTGACACTTCCAAAGTTATGACAGTCTATCCATAAAGATGATTTTAATCGGGTTCCCTGTTTCAAATATGTATCAAAACGCACCGTGATTTTACTATGTAGCGTTACTATGTTAATGCCAAGCTAATACCATGCTATTTCTGAAGGATCATGTGACACAGACGACTGGATAGCTGCTGAAAATTCCGTTTTTCCATTACAGAAATAAATTGCATTTTAAAATACATTATATTGGATATTTCACAATAAAGAGACCTTTCATAAACAATCACTTTTTAAAAATAAAAACAAAGTACTATGGTACTGTATAACCATATGGGGTTTAATATGTAATACCATGGTATTCTTTGAAGTATGCTGCAAAAATGTACCATGTAAATCTGGTGGTATTACCAATGGTGTTTTTGACATGTTACCCAGTTAATACCATGATATTCTTGAAGCATATGGGAGTATTATGTAAATAAGTAATATGGTAATCATTCAATACCATGATATAACAAAGTTCCATTGTGTTACTTTCTGTCTAGTAAAGGCTATTCACTGATTTAAAAAAAGAACAACAGCAGATGTAATATTCAGATTTTATTCATTCAATCACATTTAGTAGAAAATAAAGCTCATTTAGGGCCAGCAAACTCTTAAACATTTATCCAGTTGCATAAACAATGCCTGATTAAGACAACAGTAATACTGCTAATGATATTGATCGAGTAGACAGGAAATGCTAAGAATAAGTTAGTCGCACACTACAAAACTTCACGTGGGTAATGTCGGACATGGGGGCGGGGGAGGTACATCCACCGAACCGAATGAGAATTCAAGCGATGATTAGTGCAAATATTGGTTCTGTTTATATATTATACTTTACAAAATATCATTCTATGGTTTTAAAGATAAATAGCAAAAAGTTCCTTTATGTCAAAGATTGTCAAAAGAGAGAGAGACGGAGAGAGAGTGAAATAAAGGAATCGTAGTTAAGTGCAGAAGGTTAAGAATGATGGTTACGTAAAAGCAGGAGGGGAAGCAAAACAACTCGCTTGAGTAAGCAAGAATATGCTGAATATGTGTGTAAAATGACTATGAAATTGTCTGAGAGCCGAAAGCAAGAGTCTTTATGAATTCATCAAGGTGCAAATTCATCTGCTGATCATATCTCTCCCTCTCTCTCCTCTCAGCATCACAATGACCCTCTGTTTTCACAGAGCTTTGGCTCAAATGGTTGTCATGATGCTTCAGCGTTGCTTGGCTCCGAACTCTGATGACCTGCAGAGATAAACAGAGGAGAAGAAAGAGCGAGAAAGAAGTGAATGATGGCCTACTTACGTTACCCGTTTACTAATCTGGCTTTGTTAAAGGTCAACTCAGAGCCATCTGTCTGTGGACACACAAACACGGACAGGTGCACGCTCGCACACTCACGATACATTCACATGTAATACTGGAAAGAGTTCCTCTAATTACTGGAGTGCTTTCCAGTCAGACTATCTAATAAAACTGCTGGACGCTTCCAAGAAGCACATACACACACAAAACAGCACAGTACCGGGGAAATCCAAGGACTTATTTCGTTTCGGAGGGAGTCTAGGTTTTTTCACAGGGGGTTTGCGATCTGAGGCTCTCTCCAGATCACAGCGGGCATCCTGCTCCATTCCTAGGGGGTAAATACAGGGGCACACAGAGGGAGGGATGGGATCACACAAGTAAGGATGAGTTGATGAAGGCATGCTAGATGGTGAATGCAGACCCTCCTCACATGCTCAAAAGGGATTTGAAGTTTGCACCTGTGTCACATGAGTTTGCTTTCCTATTTCGATGTGGTTTCATGGGGCCTCCAGGGCTGCTTTTGACTTTATCACCTGAGCAAAAATAAACCATATATTCTCTATATTTCTTTTGTTTTTTTTAAAGTTGGAAGTCACAAAAATTGTGACGGGAAAAGATCAGAACGTTTTTTAAACAATTTTTTTTACAAAATACATTTGAAAATAAAATACATTTTGTACTATTAGAGCTGTACTAAAATATTAATTTACAAACCATACACCTAATGTTATACATGTAAGTGCAACATAAGTGTGCATTTGCAATATTAATAAATATGTTCAAAAATACAAAATACATTTTACAAAATATATTATTAGAGCTGTACTTAAAATATTAATTTACAATCCATACACTTAATATTATAATCAATACATGTACGTACACTTAATATCATAATCAATACATGTACGTGTATTTATATATATATATATATATATATTCACCTTCATCAAATTTGATATTAATATTGCATTCTGTTTTCCAAAGTGTGGTGTGAACTGTTAATATATATAAGTATTTTTCAGATTATATATTACTAGCTTGTTCTGTTTTCTAGAAAGTGGTATAAAGTGTTATTCTCAGATACATATATATAAATATATATATAGGTATAGGTATATAAAATTACAATGTAGAAGTTAATTTTTTTATCTCAGATACACTGCTAACTTAAAATAAATATATACATTATATTTAAAATGACTGTAAAAGTTTACAATTTAGAAACCTTTTTATACATAAAAAATACTACTACTACTACTAATACACTGTCTTTATATTATCACATTTATTTTTTCACCAAGTATTTAAGATTAAACACTTACAAAGAATATATGATTATTAAACTGCTTTAGAAATGCTTCATAAAGCTTTATGAACAATAAATGCAACTACCAGTAAGACATAACAACTTTTGTATGAATTACCTTGAAGCAAAGCAGAATCTACTGAAGCAGAATGAAACACAGGCTTAGCTGAGGTGGGCGGAGCAGCTGGTGGCTGATTCTCATTGGTCACGTCTTGTGGTGAGGAGCCAATGGGAGACGTGTGAGGTGAATAATAACATGGCTGAAAATAATGATATAATCAAAAGCCATTTTAATGATACATCTTTGCTATGGGAATAAAGACACGCTCCCACTCACAATCACTGACATTTTAAGTTAAAGACACAAAGATACCTTTTCAGGGATAGGTGGAGACTGTCCTTCTGGTTTTTGGTCTTCTCCACATCTCCCGTCCTCTTTTTCCTCATCCTTCTCCCTCAGTTCTCCAGAATCTTCAATAGATTTATCTGGGGACAGCAAATAATAACCATGTAGAAAGTTATATTGTGTAAAATGCTTATTAAAAGTAGTTTTTAAAATTAGAAAATTAAAAGAAGAAATAAAAAATTCACTAAAATGAATGCCTGATGCCAACTCATGACAGAATATGCATTACCAGAGCTCTCCTCCAGATGGCATTGTCGTGTCTTAGCTAAGCTCGGCTTCGTACTCTGAGGCGGAGGCTCGGGTCTTTTTCTGGTTTCCAGCAGCTGAGGGTCCATTATACTATCTGCCTTTTTCTGGCTGTCTGACTGTGATTCCTGTCTTCCTGATTCTGACTGTCTGTCTATAGATGGCGTGTGCCCTTTAGCAACGATATCTGAATGCCGGTCCATCTCATGCTCTCCGTATCCAATCTCTTCTGATGATCCGAACACCTCACTGTAATCAGGCGACTGCAGGGAACAGAGAGACAGAGTGTGAGAGACTGTGGTAAACATGTCATTATGCTCATTAAATTTACATTTCATTTGTTTTCGAATCGATCAAAAACAAGTGATGCTAACATTATATTACTTACTAATGAACACAATTCCTTCCCATGTCTGTTCTCAACATTACCTGCACCATTTTGTGAATTAATAAATAAATATTACATAGTTTGTGTACCAGAGTTGGCCTAAATTCAATTTAAGAATTGGCTCTGCTTCAAGCCGTGACGTAGAACCTGAACTGGCGTGGATCTCAAAATGTTGAATTGGAATTAGAATGACAAGCAGAGGAATTTACTGGATTGTAATTGAAAGAAATTCAACATTCACACAAAAGATTTGTGACTAGTCAGAAATAATACATCATTTTTACTACTCATGCCTTTAACCTGGTATAACCCTCCCCTTAGAATTAGACATTTAAAAAAAAAATGTAATATTGTTAAAACAACCACAGCCATGAAAACAGATTTTAATTTTTCCATATAGAACCACAATATGTCCCATAGTGATTTTAGATAACATTATTAAAATACTTGCATCAAAATTGGGGTAATTTATAGGATTCTTAAAAACAAAGTCCATGAAATTAAATTAAATAAAATTATATATTTATTTTTTTAATATAATAGCATATGCTGTGTATAAATTGCATATGCATTTCTACAGGTGGCATTTCAAGTATTGATTATTAATATCATCTAATATGTCAGGAAATGGCCAAATGAATAATAAGAATTTATTTGAATGTAATTTAATTTGAATTCTACTTTCTTAAATTCAAATTCGAATTACAATTATGGATCTTGTTTGCAATCAAAATTCAACTGAATTTCAAGAACTGAACTGGAATCTAAATTATGTAATGTGGTGAACTTTACCTGTCTCTGTGAAAAGCAGGAGGGGCTGAGTCCCATCATTCCTGGCAGGGGTATACCATGAACAGGCCGTCCTGACAGCTGAGGGGTCCTCTGAACACCCGACCCAACCAGCCTCCCATTGGTGCCCTCAGTGCCTACGTCTAACCTCACACGATCCTTTGGGTGTTGAATCAAGGAGTACACATTCTCAGTGGCAATACTGAGAGAGCAACAGATAAAAGGAAAACAAGAGTAAGAGTTTGATTTATTGATATAATACACTTTATATAATTTATTATTATGATATATGATATACTGTACACTATCTTTAAAGAAATTGATACTTTTAATCAGCAAGGACACATTAAATTGATCAAAAGTGACAGTAAGGACATTAATAATATTACAAAAGTTTTCTATTTTACATAAATGCTGTTCTTTTGAACTTTCTATGCATCAAAGAATCCTGAAAAACATGTATCATGGTTTTAACATAAATATTAAGCAGCACAACGTTTTCAACACTGATAATTATAAGAAATGTTTCTAATTCATGTGACACTGAATTCTGGAGCAATGGCTGGTAAAATTCAGCTTTGCCATCACAGGAATACATTACAATTGAAAATATGCTAAAAAATTTATGAATTAAAAACAGTTATTTTCAAATGTAATAACATTTGACATTATTACTGTTTTTAGTGTATTTTTGATCAAATCAATGCAGCCTCGTTGAGCATAAGAGTCTTATTTCAGATATTAAAAAATCGTACTGACACCAAACTTTTGAATGGAAGTGTAGTATGAATTATTATATATTAAAATACGACTGACTCACTTAGTGCGACATTCCTCCCCACAGGCCCCGCCCCTTCCTGTAGGGTCTGACTCCTGATGTGATATGGTAGAGTTGCGGTTCTTCCTGAATCCAGAAAAGATTGACAGCACACTGCGTCTTTTCTTCCTCCTCAGAGCCTGAGCGTGATGGTGGGATGACAGCTGACTGCAGGACAGAAAGTCAGGGTGTCAGAGATAAGATAACGTCCACATTTTTAGCATGCCCATATGCCTTCAACCTTTAAAAAGTGAGCAAATGTGACACCTTCATTGTTAGACTTCATTACTACACAGAAGTGTTCAGTACTGAAGCACCTGTCTGGTAAAACTCTCTTGGTGTAGAAGTCAGGCAGTCCATCATCCAATAGAGATACTCCACCATTCTCCGAGCAGTGCTACAGGACGACAAGAGAAATAATGATGATGATGATGATGTGTGCTTTTGAGAACTGGGACTGGAGTCAGGCACGGCGCCAGAATTTTGAGGTTACCGGTGCTAAGGGGGGGCTAGACCAATATGTGGGGGTGCTAAGAAAATAAATGATATTGATGACGTCAGACTAAGACGGGGCTATTCAAAATTCTGACGGGGCTATAGCCCCCCCTAGCCCCGGTGTAGCGCCGTCACTGACTGGAGTAGATCATCTCTCTAAATTTGTGTTAGTGGATGATGCTGTCACAGTACTGTATCTCACCCATCTGGGATTTGTTCTTCTGTATTATGTCAATGTATTAATTTGATCAACAGACATTACAAAGGCACGGCTTGCAGGCATTTAGGCTGATCGGAAGTGATTGAAAAGGAGAGAGCCTTTAATGTTTGATGCTTTAATTCTGGAGACCCTGCAGAAAACATCTGGGCCTGCGTTCAGACAGATTTCTGAGAACAATCACGCTAACAAGAGAACGTGATTAAAATCAACCCTCTCCTTCTCGTTAACAGCTTGAATAGCTGTCGATTAATCGCTTTTTATTTCATATTTGGAGTATTTTTGAAGAATACCTCCTGTAGGATCCATAAATCAGTGCGATTTTGACTTAATTAACAAATCATGTTTAATTGCAGAATTCCCAAAGAAATATCACACTACCATCAATCCTGAAGCCAATCAGAGAAGTCGCTGTTACCATGGAAATGAGAATCGTGGGAAAACACAGTGACTACCCACTCTCATAAAAATCATAATTGGTCTCAATCAACTTATACATTTGCATATTTGTTAATATACTGAATACATTGGATTTTTTCGTAATAAACGTCCAATATATGGTATTGTATACTTACAGTTATATAGTTATTATTATAAGATAATGCTGCATGAAATACATTACAGATTCAATTCTATGAGGAGGATGAAGAGAAATAGATTCGGCTACTTTTTTTAAAAAGAAAACATGATTAAAAGTTTGTGTGTGGTTTTTTTCTCTCTTTACGAATCCAGAACTGCTTCTTCGTTCACTAGTCAAATGAATAATAGAAGCTACAAGAAAACAATACATACGATTCAACGACAGTCGCAAATCTAAACACGACTATTTCTGCAGCAGTTTTAATTATAGGTAAAATAAGAGAATTCAGTTTGATAGGATTGTATTTTGTCACAATACACCAAGGCCCCAGTATAAGACTTGTTGCCAAGTCTAGGGCTGTCGCGATTCGTCGATTTTATTAGACTATTTGATCTTTAAAAATCCTCGACTTTATTTTGCTCGTGTCGGCTAACCGGCAAAATACCGTAAGTGGCGCATTTCACAGACGAGAATGTATAAAACACATTATAAGTCTGTTTTCCAAGGGTGCATGATATATTAAACCCATTTAAAAATATATAATTAAGCATAACTGTGAATTCACAAATGATACGATTTCATTAAATAATTATATGCAATGCAGTTCTAATACAGTATATGCGCTGTAATTATTTACATGCGTGTAGGTTAAGTACATGCGTCACACAGCGGCTCCGTTCACAGTAGTTCCACAGGAACTGTTATCATTTACATGTGTGGAGCGTCTCAAACTCCATCTCTGCATGTTGTTCACCATTTCATCAGATCTGTAAGGTAAATCATTTATAAATCTACGCAAACTCAGGAGAATACATCGCGTTTTCAAAGTAAAAGCTCAAACCCTCACTTTGAGTTTACACGTTTTGATGTCTACATATTCTTTTAATTACAGTGGCTATAGCATTTCTGTCCTAAAGAACTGGCCAAATATTAAAGATTAAGTGGACATTTGAATGAAATGGTGCTTGGTCAATATTAAACAAGGATTAGATCACACAGCAATGTGTAAAAATAATCATCAGGCCTTTGTTGTAATGCGTAATGTACATTAGCTCTATTGTTTATAATACATTATGTATTTTAACAATTTTGTTCAATAAAACCATATGATTTCTTGCTTTTGATACTTTATTTGAACTAATTATTATTGCCTCATTGCTATTATATATGTATTTTAAGCCATTTTAAAGGCTATTGTTCACTTACATATATTTTTATTACCACAAAATGATGGCACTATGAAATCCGTTTTATTTCCAAATTCAGTTTTTCCCATTTTCATTTTTCTATACTCTGTTTTAATGGTTAAATTAAATTGTATTAATCAAAAAGCAAACAGTTTATCTTTACCAAATTCTGTTTTCCATTATTTTCTGGATTCCATTTTAATGTTTCCATTACATTTTAATAATCAAAAACATCTCCAATTAATTGATTTTATTAAAAAAATATATATTTCCAGAAATACTGCACATTTACATTTTTCTCCTAAACAAATTCTGGTAAATACTATTTCTGGTAAATACTCCTTTTTAAAAGTGTTTTTTGATTATAATTTTATTATTAGTAGACTAGAACACGTGGATATGTTGTCATTCTTACACTATAATACTGAACTTTGATTTCAG